ACATTCCAGTCTGGCGACACAACGAGACTCCGTCTCAAAAAAAAAAAAAAAAAAAAAAGATGGGATGACCTTCTGGGAACCATTTGATTACCTCTTCAAATGACAGACAGTTGAAAGAGAAAAAACAAAACTGAAATCCCACCAGACCATGTTGTGTGCCTGTTTCTAATCAATACAAAGTTAAGTATGAGCTAAAATCAGACAAAGCACTTTAAACTTACCCTTTCCAGAGCAGCTTTGCATATGCACCCTCCTGAGTTTGGGATTCTGTCAAATGACCTCCTTGATCCTGGCCCTGAGGAGTCATTGGCTGCAGGAATGGGGCAAGAATCTATTTCCTAAACCACACATAACATGGGAGCCTTTTTTCATTGTTTTCAGGTATATAAAAGAATGAAATCTTTGGTTACTAGGTGCTGACTAACACCTTCTATGTTCTGACCATTTGTGACATTTCATTGTGACACTGTGTACTAATCTAACTCCTTAGGCAACAAAAAAAACAAAAATAAGACATTTTGAATAAAAAGCAAAATCAAAGAAGCTAAAAAGAAAAATGAAGGCAGATAAATTGTGACTTTATAAACATATACGATTTTATTGACGATTGCAGTTAATGCAGCAAGAATGCTTTCTCAAGCAGTGGCCTTTGTATTCTCATTTTAATCAGGTGTACATTCTACAGCCCCTCTACCATGCTTTTAGTTTCTATTTTAAAAGATACAATAATATATGTAGGGAAAGAGGCCTGGGCTCTTCATTTAAAGGTAAGCAGTAATATTGAGTAAGTGACATAATTCTTTCTCTTTGTAAGTCCTATGCCTCTTTTTCTTAACTGTAAAACATAAAATATGAGCGTTTTTATCTTACAAATAGGTACCTAAGGCATTTGATTTTCTTTTTAAATAACAAAAAATAACCCAAGTTTCTTGCTTCTCCAAAGTATTCTTCTTATAGCTTATAAAGGAAAGTCCACATTGAATAGCATGGTCTGGAAACATTCCTTCTTTATTGTCTTTATTTGAACATGATATGAGTTTTCAAGATGAAATAATCATCAAAAATAAGCACCACAAGAAAGTTTTTTTGTTTGTTTGTTTGTTTTGTTTGTTTCTTGAGACCAAGTCTCACTCTTTGCCCAAGCTGGAGTGCAATCTTGGCTCACTGCAACCTCCACCTCCCCGGTTCCAGTGATTCTCCTGCCTCAGCCTCTTGAGTAGCTGGGATTACAGGTGCCCACCACCACACCTGGCTAATTTTTGTGGTGTTAGTAGAGACGGGGTTTCATCATGTTGGCCAGGCTGGTCTCAAACTCGTGACCTCATGATCCATCCGCCTCGGCCTCCCAAATTGCTGGGATTACAGGCATGAGCCACTGCACCCGGCCAAGAAAGTATGTTCTTAGAGGTGTGTGTAAGTGCATTTGTAGTACCTATGAGCAAAATTACCTGACTCTTGTCCCAGGAAAGCTGTTTCGCATTTTCGCTTTTTGGTTAGTATTATCCGATTCTATATAGTTCATATTACTGCTCTGTCTGACTCTCAGAAATTACTTCTTCACGCCAGTGTCTTGTTGCATGACTTTGATGTCACCCATAGGAATACACCTCACTGCACATAAGTGGGTATCTTACTGTATAAAATGTCTACATGGCTTTAGGTTTTAGGACAAATGTAGATTTATAGATCATTTCTGTTGGCCAGGACACAGGTTTTGAGAGCTGTGTGTATATATATAATCATGTTTGTATTTTTTTCCTGAAAGTTATCAATTGTTTTTGTTTAAAATAGTTTGTTTTAGAGGTGGGGTGGGGATGTATATAACGGGGAAAAGTTATATGTACTTTAAAGTATGTCAAGTTCTTACTAGTTTCCTGCACTGCAGGTTCAATTTTTTTTTTATATAAGTTTACTTTTCACCTGCTCTATTCTTTGTGGGGAAAAAAAAAATGCATCTAGGAAAACATAGTTTAAATACTGTATATAAGATAATGAAAGTTAGTAACGCCCATTATTTAATAAAGTTTGTAAAGTACAAAGTAATTTATAGCGTGAGTTAATGTGTTTTAGAACATCAAGATGTTTCCAAACTACATTTAGCTATAATACTTTACCTTGCCTTGTGAACCATGGAGAAATTGGCTCAGGGTCACAATGATCTAACTATGTCTCAGTGGCCCATGATAGACCATTTTCAACATCTTTGGATTACTTTTGAAACAGTGAATTTGGTGTCTAGGATTGTTTTTGTTTTCTTGAGAGACAGCTAAATTAGATCAGTTGCTAAATTACCTTTTTAAAAAATTCGCAGTAAGTAGCAGAAGACATTCTTTTAACTGTTTTATTATTGAATCAAAGAATTAATATAGCCAGGCGCAGTGGCTCACACCTGTAATCCTAGCACTTTGGGAGGCCGAGGTGGGTGGATCACTTGAGGCCAGGAGTTTGAGACCAGCCTGGCCAACATGGTGAAACCCTGTCTCCACTAAAAATGGATGGTGGTGCATGCCTGTAATCCCAGCTACTCAGGTGGCTGAGGCACGAGAATCACTTGAACTAGGGAGGCAGAGGTTGAAGTGAGCTGAGATCATGTCATTGTGCTCTGGCCTGGGCAACACAGACTCTGTCTCAAAAAAAAAAAAAAATTACTATAGAAGTTTTTGGCACAAATTGAGGTTTTTTTCATATAACTTCATGTTAATTTTCTTTCATAGAAAGTTTACAGGGAACAGAAATATACTGCTATAAGTTGATAATTACAGACACTTTCCAAAGCAACTCTTTCCAAATATAAGCAAAAAGCTCTACCCCATTATAATGAAAATGTGGATTACCTGACTTTCCTCACACTGAAGAAACAGCCTTCAGCTTTCAGTGTATTTTAGAGAGAAGAGTTTCCAACCTCACATTGAGGAGCCCTCAGATCTGCCTTACCTTCCTGTTCCACTTTGAGGTGGAAAATGGATGGGTTCGCTCCAAGTTCAGTTTAGAGAAACAAATGACAGGAGAAGAACCACGCCCTGTGCAAATGATAAACATAAATTCAGTCCTTAAATAAAAATTTTAATGAGCAGGCTTATAATGAGCTATAAATACAGCTGTTGAACATGAATACTTGATAACATTTGTCTCAAGTTTCATTTGATGTAAAAACAATAAAAAAATCTCTGTTTGAAAGAGCAAATGTTACTACTTCAAGAACTCTGAGATCCTCTAATGCTGTATAACTTTCTCTATCCGGATGGATTGTGATAACTGCACTCAATTCTTTTTTTTTTTTTTTTTTTGAGACAGGGTCTCACTGAAACCTCTGTCTCCTTGGGTTCAAGCAATTCTCCTACCTCAGCCTCCTGAGTAGCTGGGATTACAGGTGTGTGCCACCATGCCCGGCTAATTTTTGTACTACTAGTAGAGACGGGGTTTCACCATGTTAGCCAGGCTGGTCTTGAACTCCTGACCCCAGGTGACCCTCCCGCCTCAGCCTCCCAAAGTTCTGGGATTACAGGCATAAGCCACCATGCCCAGCCTTGTTGGTGTTTTTTTAAAGAGATATGGTCTCACTTACCCAGGCTGGTCTTGAGTTCCTGGCCTCAAGTGATCCTCCAGCCTTGGCCTCCCAAACTGCAGGGATTATAGGCATGAGCTATCATGCCTACCCTTTTTTCCCAATGTTTTTGTTTAACAAAATTATATATATATATATATATATATATATATATATATATATATATATATATATATATATATATATATATGCTTATTCCACAGAGATGCTGTGGAAATTATGCTGTATTAAAAAGCTTAAATGCAAAATATGATTGCACAACCTATATAACTGTAAAGTAATAAAATTTGGAATGTCTGGTGTATAGCATATTTGAAAGCTGTTTAACAGAAGATCAAAAATTCATTTTTGATAGAATATTCTAGGCCAGGCACGGTGGCTCACGCCTGTAATCCCAACACTTTGGGAGGCAAGGCAGGTGGATCACCTGAGGTCAGGAGTTCGAGACCAGCCTGACCAACATGGGGAAACCCCATTTCTACTAACAATAGAAAAATTAGCTGGGCATGGTGGTAGGCGCCTGTAATGCCAGCTACTTGGGAGGCTGAGGCAAGAGAATTGCTTGAACCCAGAAAGTGGAGGTTGCAGTGAGCCGAAATCTCACCATTGCACTCCATCCTGGGCAACAAGAGCAAGACTCCATCTTGAAAAGAAATAATATTCTAAAATTTAGCACATGCAACCATTGTCTGCTTTGACCGGCTGAGGTAGAAATGGCTTTACCAGCTCCGCACACTGCTGGGCAACTTGTAGTGCCCCATACATTTTAATCATTGAACAGAGTTAAAAACTCATCTGAGCCCAAAGCATGTGAAAAACATATTCAAACCAGATACACAAAGGAGGGAAGTAACAACAGCAAATAAGTTGCTTTAAAAAAATTCACAGCACACTCAGAAATCCAGTATCATCAACTTTCTCTAGCGCTCCTATTAGTTAGGTCAGGGGAGGTGGCGTTTTGGAAAGACTCTGCACCTTTCCCATCTCATGGCTGATAGAATTCCAGAGACATTTACTCTGCAGATTTCCAGTAACCTTTTAGGCTAAGCATCTATATGGGCACAGGAGGGTGGGGTTATCAGACTCTCCTCAAAATTCCATGTAGACCAGTGCCTGTCCTGGTAACTGCTTTTGATGATGTGATGAGAGCACAGAGCACCCTAGCACGTGATGTGGGGTTGAAGTCAGATAAGGTGGAAGGAAAAGGCCCAGAATGCTGAGATTTTAGGTGCCAAAAAACACACTTGCTGACTTTACAACTGTAGTACACACCCACGGAGAAAAGTCCACTTTATGTATCTACGAAAAAGAGTCTTATTTTCCTGACAATGGCTTATTCACATGCATCATACAATAGGAAAGAAAGACAGGCAGTTCCACCTCATTGGTTCCAAAACCATGTTTATTCAGCTCAATATAAAACAACAGGGCTTGGATGGTGATCAAATCATCTGCTCTAAGGCGCAAATACAAGCCCCCAGTTTGCCCTCCTGTTTATATAGCAATGTATGCCTCTCCACATAGTTCTCATGGAACCATCAAGACCACGGAGTAAGCCGATTCCTTCTACTAGAGCACAGTTAAACCAGAGGCTGCAAACTGCTGGCCCAGGGGCTCAATCTGGCTTGTGCAATTTTATTTATTTGGAGACAGTCTCGCACTGTTGCCCAGCCTGGAGTGCAGTGGCGCAATCTCAGCTCACTGCAACCTCCACATTCCGGGCTCAAGCAATTCTCTTGCCTCAGCCTCCCAAATAGCTGGGACTACAGGCACGTGCCATCACGCCTGGCTAATTTTTGTGTTTTTAGTAAAGACAGGGTTTCACCATGTTGCCCAGACTGGTCTCAAACTCCTGGGCTCAAGTGATCCACCCCCCCTCAGCCTTCCAAAGTGCTGGGATTACAGGCATGAACCACCATGCCTGGCCCTAGGCTTGTATAATTTGAAAGGCTTAAGCATAAAATCCAAATTTCCACCTCTTAAAAAAAAAAAAAATGTGGTATGTGTGGATCTGGATTCTGGTGAGGCCAATGCTGTGAGATCTAAGGAGGGGATCTAAAGGTGAAAGTCACCCTAAAAGGCGGACACTTGCTTTGACCTTTGGGGGAAATGGTTCCTTTGTGTTTCATTATGGACTTGGTCAACAAATTTAAAGCAGCCGTGGTACACTTGAATACAGACGCTTTAGGTAGAAAATAAGAAATCTCTCCTCTTAAGGTAAAATAAACATAAGTCACAAAAGTCTGTAGAACGTATTGCTGCTTTGGAGCAAGTTTTACACTTGGTCCACTTTCCTAGTTAATACTGTATTATGTGCCTGTCCTCTAGAAGCCTCCAGAGGCTTCAGGTTTGTGATACTAAATCATCTCCACTCCATTCTCCTTTAATATTATGAATTCACCTGAATTCACTACTATATTATACTCTGTTTCCCAAAACACCATCTCTAGGCTCAAACTCCCCTCTTGAGTGCCAGGAGGATTGAAGATTTTTCCTGCAGGACATCTCTACCTGAGTTGTCCGAAACTGATGTCATTTTTCCCCATGTACGACTCCTTTCTTCCTCAGAGGCTCCTCCTCTAGTTTGCAGTCTTTTTGTTGGACTACCGTAACAGTGTCCTAACTGGTTGTCTTGCCACGGTCTTCCCCACTTCCTGTCTTTTATTCTGTATTTTAAACACAGAATAAAATCCTCCAGGGCCAAGCGCGGTGGTTCACACCCGTAATCCCAGCACCTTAGGGGACAGAGGCAGGCAGATCACTTAAGGTCAGGAGTTCGAGACCAGCCTGGCCAACATGGTGAAAACCCATCTCTACTAAAAATACAAAAATTCGCCAGACTTGGTGGTGCACACCAGGAATCCCAGCTATTCAGGAGGCTGAGGCAAGAGAATCTCTTGAACTGAGGAGGCAGAGGTTGCAGTAAGCAGAGATCACGCCAGTGCACTCCAGCTTGGGCAACAAAGCGAGACTCCATCCCAAAGGGAAAAAAAAAAAATCCTCCACAAAGCCCTCCACAATCTGTCTCTGCCTTTATATGAATAGGAGCTGCTCCCTCTGCCTGCAATACCCTTCCCCTACTATCCAAAGGGAAACCTGCTGAGTCCTCAAAACCCAGCTCAGAAATGATTGCCAAGAACTGTGAGATTTTACCCAGCTTGCAAGCTAACAAGGTAACCTGCATCAGTTTCATAAACACTGGCAGAAGACACAAGACTCCAGGGTAAGAGATGAAGGACAGGATTACAGCACAGCCAGCAGTACGAACTTTACATATGCATTGCTTCCCCTGGCCGCTCTAGTCTCAGAGCAGCCCAGGGGGTTGTTGTACACACAGTGGTTCATTCCACAGCAGAGGACCCCTGAGCTCAGAAATCCCCAAACTTAAAAGAAGCTACTAGCAAATCTGCCAAACCTTCGCCCCTGGAGGGAGACATTATCTTTATTCTACGGAGGCAAACAAATCTGCCTTCTGCCCTAAGGGGAGACACTATTTCTATCTTCCAACACTGTATGCTCTATAAATGTACGTGAATTGATAGTCTGGGGTAAGAGAATAATACAAGACATTAAGAAATACAAAATCAGGAAACCCCTAAAGAATAGTCTCAAAACCATGCTAATTTTGTGACAAAGAAATTTTTTTTTAATTTTTACGCAATATGATTAAGGATGGAGAAAGACTGTTAAACCCAATTGAATGAGAATATACATTGGTATAGAATATTATAAATGAATTTAGCAATAGGAACCAGTAATATTAAAAATTCATCCTCTTTGAGCCAGTAATTAGACTTCCGGGAATTTAAAAGAATAAATTCAGCTGCTGTTAAAGATTTATGTATCAAATGTCTCCATGCATGCCTCACCTGTAGTACCATACACTGGTTGTTATTAATAATAAGACAGATTTTGCCAAGCATTGTTGGTGTGTATGCTACCGATACTCCTAGGGACCAGGCTTGCAGCTTCCGGGGCCACGCTTTCCCACCTAAACAATCAGAAACCAAGCTCAGACTGCACTCCCTGGGAGCTTCGGAAAAAGCTGCATCAAACCCGAGCTTCTCCCCAAGCCAGCAAACTACATGGCTCAGGTAGTCCTTCTGAGAGGTGACAACGTGCTAGCAGCCCTGGCTCGCTCTCGGCGCCTCCCCGGCCTCGGCGTCTGCTCTGGCTGCGCTCCAGGAGCCCTTCAGCCCGCCGCTGCACTATGACGGCCCCTCTCTGGGGCTGGCCAGGCCTGAGCCCATTCCCTCTGGTCACGGGGAAGTGTGAAGAGAGAGGCGCTGAGGCGCTGGCCGGGAGCTGGGCTGCGCACGTTGCTTGCGAGGAGCCCTTCAGCCCGCCGCTGCGCTATGACGGCCCCTCTCTGGGGCTGGCCAGGCCTGAGCCCATTCCCTTTGGTCACGGGGAAGTGTGAAGATGGCCACAACAGCAGGTCTCCCTCTCTTTCTTGCTTCCTCTCTTTTCCTCGTGAGTGCCAGTGAGAGGTGAAGCCAGCTGGGCTTCTGGGTCGGGTGGGGACTTGGAGAACTTTTCTGTCTAGCTAAAGGATTGTAAATGCACCAATCAGCACTCTGTGTCTAGCTAATCAGGTAGGGGACTTGGAGAACTTTTCTGTCTAGCTAAAGGATTGTAAATGCACCAATCAGCACTCTGTCTAGCTAAAGGATTGTAAATGTACCAATCAGTACACTGTAAAAACGGACCAATCAGCGCTCAGCGCTCTGTAAAATGGACCAGTCAGCACTCTGTAAAATGAACCAATCAGTGCTCTGTAAAATGAACCAATCCATAGGACATGGGCGGGGCCAAATAAGAGACTAAAAGTTGGTCACCAGCACCAGACGTGGCAACTTGCATGGGTCCCTTTCCCTGCTGTGGAGGCTTCGTTCTTTTGCTCTTCACAATAAACCTTGCTGCTGCTCACTCTTTGGGTCTGCACCACCTTTATGAGCTATAACACAATGAAGGTCTGTAGCTTCATTCCTGAAGCCAGCAAGACCACAAACCCACCAGGAGGAAGAAACTCCAGAAACGTCCGAACATCAGAAGGAACAAACTCCGGACATACCATCTTTGAGAACTGTAACACTCACCGCGAGGGGCCGCAGCTTCATTCTTGAAGTCAGTGAGACCAAGAACCCACCAATTCCGGACACACTTGCTGGGAGACCCAAAGTGTTGGAAATAAATGCTTATTCCCTACTGTCACAGAGAGGAATTCACAATTAGACAAACAGTTTCCTAAACAAGGCGATTTTTACTCTTTGCAGAAAGGTTGGTGCCTGTCAGCAATCCTGCTGGGAGTACTCACAAAGTAAAAAAGATACTAGACTATTTTTGCCTTACACCTGAGGTCCCTATTGCTGTGTCCTGACTCCATTGGCTGGAGCCAGACCTCACAATGTAAACTAAAACCCGATTGGCTAACATTCTAAATTTTTTAAATAGGTAAAGGCAGTGAGGAACGAAGGAAAAAAAGGAAGTTGCTTATGAAAGGACTTAGAAAAGTAATAATATTCCCAAATAAGAGAGGAGTGTAGGCTGCAAGCTGGGACATGCCTGGGCACGTCCAGCACGAATGTTTTGACTGAGGTACAAGGACATAGAATGTACTACGTGTCTGTGAGCATGTTTAACATAGATACTGAAGTCAGAGTAGGCTTATTCTGTTACATTTGCTACATAAGGCTTAACAGAGTTATTACCATAAAATAAGAAACAGTTTTGAGAAAAGATATCAATAACATGTGTGAATTAAAGGGGAAAGGTTGAAGAGGAACTTTTGCTTGCTACACAAGGCTTCCTCATTCATTGAAGAGGAAAACTCTTGGTGGGGACAAGAGTGACTTTATTTTAAATACCAATCCACTGACTAATCCTGAGTCTGGGAATGCCTCCAAAATGTTGAGTTGATGTATTATTATTTATGTGGAAACACTCATTCACTGTAAGTTTCCTTCAAAACAACCCTGGTTACTGTTACAGAAATCATAGGCTGTGACGCTGGTAGCCACCTACACATTCCTTCCAAAGCACGTATAATTTTCCCCAAGATATAAGCCCTGGGTCTGGGGGATTGTGGTGCAGAGACCTACCTATCTTGTAGCTGCCCAAGACCACATTTCTGTTTGTAAGTTACCTTAATAAATCACCCAAAACCCACACATTGGATTTCTCTGCCTCCTTTGGTTTCCAGGCTCCTTCTGCATTTGGGGGTTACTGTGTTATATACAGCCCTTTCACAGAACAAAATCCCATAGAAGTGCAAACTGTGTTGACCCTTGTTTTATCCAAGTGCCCTGTCTACCTTTGTAGACTTCCAGTATTTGCTGGGTCTGTGTCCTTGGCATTTTAGGGGCCACATAAACCACCAGGCTTCACACCATTACCCTAGGTTGCTGCTCCTCTGACCATCCTTCCTGGCTAGTCTTCCACCCTGCGTTCTCTCTCCTGACCCACCTTCTCACTGCTGCTGTTCTTCCCACATCTCTCTGCAGGCTCTGGATCACTTTAAGTTCCATATTGAACAACTCTACACCCTCAAT